AATGCTGCTTCCACCTCATAGCATTACATGCACTTGTTTTCCAGGAGATGTCCAATGTAGAATAGTTGGATATTGGATGGCAAGCAGATACCTGTCTAGCCTAGAGATTCTCAAGGAGGTAAACTGGTGTCTAAACCAAGAAGCGAACCTGAGGCTAAAGCTGACCTGCATTGTTCAGAGTTCAATTTTCCTCTTTTTGAGGAAAGTAAGCAGCTGATCACTTTTCTTACTGAGATGAAAAATGATCAAAGAGCAAGAATAGACCACCCTACCCTTCGAGCTTGCTGTGCCATTCAATAAGATCATGGCTGATTTGATTTTAACCTCATTACTGCATATCGCTGATAATCTTTCATTCCCTCAGGAATCAAGAATCTATCTAACTCTGCCTTAAAAATATTTAAAGTGTCTGCACCCACTGCCTTCTAGGTAAGAGAATTCCTAAAGCTCACAACTTCTGAGAGAAAAAAGGTATACTCTTCTCTGTTTTAATGGATGATTCCTTATTTTTAAACAACTGTAGGAGAACAATAAAAGGGAACTTAGCTCACGGTGTCACAATTAATCACCAAATCAACTGAACCCCAAGGACTAGTTATTCTACCAAAATGAATGTCAGATTAAAACTGCATGTGATGTGGTTAAAATTAGAAGAGAAACCTAAGTCAGTGAGTGATATCCTTCTACAGCCCTATAACTCACTCTCACAGCAATCTGTTCCTCAGTTTTATCCCCTCCCTTTTTGTCTCACAGCTGGCAACTATACCTCCAGCTGCCTGGACCACATGTTCTGAATTCATCCCTAAACCTTTGCCTCCTTGTGATCTTTAAGAACTTCCTTAAAAGCCACTTTTATCAGACATTTTATCACTCTTGATTTATGGCTTGATAGCTGTGATTGCATTGCACAGCTGTGCAGTACCTGGATGTATTACTTTATGTTAAAAGTGCTATCCAAGGCTGCACTGACACACTGGAGATTTTTTTTTTAATCACTCATGAGATGTGAGCTTTGCTATTGACCCTCTTTGTCCCTTGAGAAGGTGGCAGTGAACTGCCTTCTTGAACTAGTGCGATCCACCAGCAGTGGGTTGACTCACAATGCCCTTAGGGAGGGAATTACCCAGCGATTTTGAAGGAATGGTGATATATTTCTAAGTCGGGGTTGTGAGTGGCTTGGAGGGGAACTTACAGGTGGGATGGTGTTCCCACATCTCTGCTGCCCTTGTCCTTCTAGATGGAAGTGGTTATAGGTTTGGAAGGAGCTATCTGAGGATCATTGGTGAATTTCTGCATTGCATCTTGGAGCTAGTACACACTATAAGAACATCAGTGATGGAGGCCGTGGATGCTTGTAGATGTGGTGCCAAGCAAGTGGGCTACTTTGTCCTGGATGATGTCAAGCTTCTTGAGTGTTGTTGGAACTGCCCCCATCCAGGCAAGTGGGGAAATTCCATCACACTCCTGACTTCTGCCTTGTAGATGGTCGACAAGCTTTGGGGAGTCAGGAGATGAGTTACTCACTGCAGTATTCCTAGCCTCTGACCTGCTATTGTGCCCACTATGTTTATGTCCAGTTGAGTGTCTGGTCAATGGTAACCCGCAGGATGTTGACAGTGGGGGATTCAGTGATGTTAACACCATTGAATGTCAAGGGGTCGTGGTTAGATTGTTTCTTATTGCTGATTGTCATTGCCTGGCATTTGTATGATGGAGATGTTACTTACCACTTGTCAACTCAAGTTGGATTTCATTGTCAAAGTCTGCCCTTACTGAGCAGAGAGTGCCAATGGGAATTCCCATGGGAATTGATCTAGTGTGGTAGTACAACCAGTGGAGGTAAAAGGAACTAAAATGTTACAAAATAACATCCTGGATTGTGTCCTCACTGCATTGTGACCTTATAACAGGCCCATAAAATCAGACAGAATGAGAAAGAGTCTGTAAAACATGGAAAGGATTTGGAAATTCAGTTATCAAATTCAAAAATCATGAGAGGCATAGATAAGATGTTTAGCCAAGGTCTTTTTCTTAGTGTAGGGGAGTCCGAAAGCAGAGGGCACAGGTTTAAGGCAAGATGGGAAAGATTTAAAAGGAACCTGAGGGGCAACTTTTTCAAATAGAAGGTGGTGCATGAATGGAATGATCTGCCAGAGGAAGTGGTAGAGATGGGTACAACATTTAAAAGATATTTGGATGGGTACATGAATAGGAAAGGTTTAGAGGGCTATAGGCCAAACGCAGGCAAATGGGACTAGTTCAGTTTAGGAAATCTAGTCGATATGGATGAGTTGGGCAGAAGGGCCTGTTTCCATGCTATATACCTCTATTATTCTATGACTCTAAGTTTTGAAATTTAGCTGAAAACAATGAAGGCAGAGAAAATGGTACTCCAAAAACTGAATCAAAAATAAGATGAGTGCTTATGGTTGGAAAGCAAAGCCTTAATGAGGAAATAAAGACCACCTCAAATATCAATTGAGGAGGAAGGGTCTGTGGTCAATCAGGTTTACTTTCATCTGAAAATGCTAATTAAAGTTTACGAGAGGCTAATGAAATTCCAATGGAGGGTCATTTAGGAATTAGGAAATCACAGGTTAAAATATTACAACATTTTTGTTGGCCAGGATTGCAAAAAGATGTAGTCAAATTTTGCCAAACGCGCCATACATCTCATGTAGTGAGAAAACTTCAACCCTCAATTGAGCCTGTGCCTTTAATCCCAAACCAATTTTTGAAGAAATATTTAGCAGGTTCTTAATAAATCTGTTCTAAAACCAAAAACTGGAACTAATAACTTTTCATGATAATGGTTGCATCCACAAGCTTTTGTTTTTAAGGCAGGCTGTTGTGTAATGGCAATGTAATTAGGCTAATAAGCCAGTGTCCCGAATGTACTGTCCCAAATCAATTCCCACCGTAGCAGATGGTTTGAATTCACCTAAAAACAAAACTCTGGAATTATTGTATTCTAAAAGCTACAGTAATGGTGACTTTGCAATCTTTCTTCCTCCGACCATATCCAGCGATGTGCTGACAAGTAAAATTCATGTCACCGTGAAAATCTCCAACAAGAGACAATCTAACTGCCATGTCTTGACATTCAATGGTGTTACAATTGCTGGATATCCTGGGGGTTATCATTCACCAGAAACTGAACTGCACTAGCCGTATAAATACCATGGTTGCAAGAGCAGGTTAGAGGTTTGGAATCCTGCAGTGAGTAACCCACCTCCTGATTCCCCAAAGACTGTCCACCATCTACAAGGCACAAGTAATGGAATGCTTCCCATTTGCCAGGATGAGTGCAGCTCCAACAACATTCTAGAAGGTTGACACCATCCAGGATAAAGATGTCCTCTTGATTGGCACCATATCCACAAATGTTCATTCCTTCCGCAACCAATGCACATTAGCAGCTGTGTATCATCTACAAGTTTCACAGCAGAAATTCACCAAGTTTCCCTACATAGCACTTTTGAAATACATGACTACTAACATCCAAAAGTCAAGGACAACAGAGTAATATATTTGTAATTCTGACTAGTCCTGAGTTTAATGTTGGCATGTAGCCCAGTCTTGAATCAATAGCCTGAACCAAATCATCAGCTTTTCCTTACAACAATGAAAATGCCTTAGTTGCATCTCCCTACATGACCACTGAGCAGAGATGGAGAATTAGGTGCATTAGAAGCCATAGGTTAAATCTAGGAATCCATTATTTCTACCAGGGTAACCATTCAAAATGAGGATTAGCAAGCTGGCAGAAGTACAATAGTAAACAATAATTCAAAAATCCAGATTCCCTCAAACATGATTCCCAACAGGATAGCTCAATGGTCCACAGCAGTTACCTTGTGCCACCATGCTGCAATGAGAAATCTTTCTCCTTGCATATTAGTGCACAGAGCACAAAAACAGATCCTTCCACCCAACTTGTAAATGTCCAATGTTACAAACTGGATTTATTTATCTTCTTTTTACTGTACAAGACCAGCAACTTTACATGTAAGGTCTGTGCATTTTGTTACCCTCGGCATGATTGCCCCAGTTAAATAATTCCAGCAGCAATTTTTTTAAGATTATTTATTTCAAGCAGTTTCTCCCTAATGTTTAAAATTTGTTGTCTCACTTACCCAGTCTCCCCTATAGTATCACAGACACAAAGAGCAGATGTAAATGAAGGTGAAACAATAAAATAATGATTTATGATGTTCTCATTCTATTGTTATTGTTTTAAGTGGGCTTGTAGTTTCTTAGATTAATTGATGCTTTACTTGAAGTGAAAGACTTATAAATCATGGCAAGCTCTCAGCAAGGTAGGAGGCTTCTAATGGTCAAACTCCCATGAAGTTGGCTCTCAGGTGAATGCCAAGTTGAAACAGAAGTGGGAAATCCTTTGCTCATTTTCAAAGTATTGCTAATTATTAGCTTGTCCTTATAGAAGGCTTACAACTAGTTTGATGGCTCTCTGGTGGAATTTTCTCTAGAATAGCTTTTTGCCATTATTTTAGAACAAATGAATAGTTTCCTCATCATGTGATTTTCAAAAAGATAAAGTTCCATTCAAATATTGTTTGGGTGACTTGGTCAATTATACATCCTGAGTTGTGCAGTACACACTTTGGGAGTTTAAAACAGCTGGTGTCTTTGTTTCAGAATGTCCCATTCAATTGATTACAGCCTTTTGAGTGAGATTCAGGAAAGACATCGAGTAAGTAATTAAGTCTGGAATTTCCCTTAGGTTTCCTCTTGTGACAAGAGACTGGTCTTAATCCACATGAGAAGTCAGGTGACCCTTGGGTGGCTGCTTTTTGCAGCCTTTTGTGATTAGTTTAAAAAATACATAAATTAATTTAAAGAAGATCAGAATGCACTGAGACATGACAATGTCTTATGTATGACATAAACGCCCTCTCCGTTTTTCATTTAATTCTACTAATTAGTGCAACAGGTGGCCTGTTAAGAGACAGATTTACTACTTTTTTTTTTCTTTGCAGTTGTCAGAGAAATATGGCTCAGTGTATTCTGTGAGCCTGGGTCCGGAGAAAGTGGTGGTTCTAGCTGGGTATGAGACAGTGAGGAATGCTCTCATTAACCATGCTGATGAATTCCTGGGAAGACCTGATGTACCAATCATGAACGTGCTTAAAGAAGGAACTGGTAATTTCCTGCTATCTATTCTTAAACTGTGTGACCCTATAGGAACTATCATTGGTAGTGTATCGGCGTGTAAGGAATTATCATACTGGCTTCCCATCTTTATAATTTTCCCTGCCACATTAGAAATAATACACCCAAATGAATGAATCTACAGGTTAGCTGGAGAAGTAAGCTCAGAAAGCTATTTATTCCATCAGTAGCACTAACACAGCTTGATAGTGAGAATACTAGAAGCAGAAAATGTTCCAGCTAGTCAAGTACTCACCTGTCTCCTCAGTAATCTTAATTTGAATTCAGGAAAAGGAAATACAGTAACACCATACTATCCTGTACTATGTTTGTTATGAGGAGTTGAGAATAAGCTGGTGACACTGCATGCAGGCAGCAACAGGTTCATTAAAGTAGAATTGAACTTAGTCTGCGAAATTGAAGAGAATAATGCCTGGAGAGAAATTCGGAGCTTAATTACCTGGGGCCAGCGAATGGGATCTCCTTGTCTGTGATTTGTCTGGTGCTGATAATTGGAAGCTGGTACTGCATGATAGTCATTTCAAAGGGACAAATATATGTGGCTTGTTAGGGCTCTGAGGCACAATGGTAATGTCCGTACCTCTGAGTCAGGAAACTGGTTCAATTCCCATCTACTTTAGAAAATCTGACCAGTTTGCTTAAAACATATCTTTTTTTTGTGAATTGGAGAATTTAAATTGATAGCTGAACATGAATAATCCTAAGAGCAATTTTTTAAAAAAAGTCCTAGATGAAAAGATTTGTGCTATGGTGACTCAGTGGTTAGCACTGCTACCTCACAGTGCCAGGGGCCTGGGTTCAATTCCGTGCTCAGGCGACTGTCTGTGTGGAGTTTGCACATTGTACCTGTTTCTGCATGGATTTCCTCCGGATCCTCTTGTCTCGTCCCACAGTCCAAAGATCTGCAGGTTAGGTGGATTCGCCATGGTAAATTGCCCCAGAATGTGCAGGCTAGGTAGATTAACCTTGGGAAATACAGGGTTACAGGGATGGTGTGGGTCTGGATGGAAAACTCTTCCGAGGGTCGGTGCAGACTTGATGGGCTGAATGGCCTGCTTCAACACTGTAGGGATTCTATAATTACATACACTTGTGAATTATTCTAATTATATGGGAATATGTGGCAACTAATTTATCCCACAACAAGATCCCACAAACAGGGAAGTAGATTATTTGTTTTGCAGCAATTGGTTGAGATTGGGCTATTGGCCTGGACACTGAGTGAAATCTCTAGGTTGTTTTATTTAATTGCCACTAGGCATTTAACATTCAATTGTAACAATTGTCAGGGCAGGTACCATGTGGAGTTTGATGACTCATGCTAAAGAAGACACTGTAAATAATGCAAGACTGTCTTAAGGACCCTCTAACTCAATGTGGGAAGGCTGTGACTGGGCCAAGTGTGCGAACCTAGATGTTTAATAGAACTCAAAATTTAGTCCTCTTCCAAGCATTCACAGTAACAAGTGAAAAAAAGCAAATCAGGAAGATCCAAAACAGGAACAAAAGCAGAAGTTGCTGGAAAATCTCAACAGGTCTGGCAGCATCTGTGAAGAAAAGGTCAGCGTTAACATTTCGAGTCCTGTGACCCTTCCTCAGAACATATTGTTCAAAGGACCTGCAATGTTAACTCTGATTTTTTTTCTTCACAGGTGCTGTCAGACCTGCTGAGCTTTACCAGTAACTTTTGTTTTCGTTCCTGATTTACAGCATCCGCAGTGCTTTCAGTTTTTATTCAGGAAGATCCAAATTTGAGGTAAGATTGCAGAGTTGGGATTTGTCTTCACAGTGTTTAAGAAGAAAGCAGGAAGTGTCTGCAAGGTACACATGCTCCACTATAGAGTGTTGGAACATGATCTCCAGCTGGTGTGTGTCTTTGAGCAGTGGCAAAATTGGACGTGTAGAGCCTAGTACATCGTAGCATTCTCAAACTGAATTTTACAGCCCAGAAACAGGGCATATAGCCCAACAGATAGTGCTGAGCCATGCATACTCACAAGTTTCATATTAAAGCTTTTAGGAGATTTGTAGCTCCTATTAGTATCTATGTGCAGGTGGTGATCTGTGATATATCACATATTTGTACAGAAATAGCCTATAAATCTTCCTCTGAAATTCTGGAAACTAAATGGTTTTCATTCTCTTTCATGACAAGGGTAGCTAGTGTGTCTAAGCTTAAAAAGGAGACAAGTGCGAAGGAAGAGATTATAATGTAATCGGATATGGACAGAAACTGCAGAGAACTGAAATGGAGTATGGGGGATGTAGAGCAGACGTATTTTGCTCAATAAGTTCTGCAATCTGGAACACTTCGCCTGAAAGGGGGAAGCAGAGAAGATTCATTTGTGATGTTCAAAAGGGATTGAAAAGTGAAGAAATGCCAGGCTATAGGAACATATCGAGATGATGAGACAAATTGAACCGCTCTCACACAATAAGAGTGGATGGAAGGCCCCTGATTGTTCCACATGATTCTATAGAAGATTACATGGTATTCCTGCCACACAAGTAAACTGAACTAGCATTTAACGTCTTCATCTGACTGAGGAAAGACTTGTAGAATTGACCAGCTCTTTCGATTGATCTGTAGGTGTTGTTTGGTCCAATGGGGAGCCATGGAAACAAATGCGAAGGTTCATGCTCTCAACCCTACGAGATTTTGGAATGGGCAAGAAATCTTTCGAGGACAAGATAATCGAGGAAGCTGGATTCCTGGTGAGAAAGATTGAATCGTACAAAGGTGAGCATGTGTGTTAGCTCAGTCTTACCATCCGAGGAGGCAGTACTCACGCATACCGACCTCCCACACAGATACTATAAAATTCACCCGCTTAGACCAAACTGGCAAAAGTATTTTATTAAAATTGTAAAGTAATAGTTTTAAAAAAAAAATTCGAAGGGGCATTTTTCTCCTCCTCCTGCAACAAGAGGCATTGAACCACTTGCACGTGCCTGATTGAGCATGTCTGAATGGATTAACCTTTTAAATTCATGGATAGAAATCAAGTGAGTCCCACGAGATGATCAGGTTCCCTGCCCACTTCTGTCCTGTATTTGTTAGCTGGATCTCAGGCAGTTGCCCGTGGTGGAGAATAAATAGCAGGGCAAGAACAACAGAGTCAAAAATCATTCACCAGAAACAATCCGCATTTATACAGAGCCTTCAACACAGTTAATGGGCCTGTGTGCATTATCTAACATTTACTACTGAGTGACATGAGGAGATGGTAGAATCAAAACATTTGTCCAAGATATAAATGGTAGGGAAAGTCTGAGTGATGGAAAGAGAGAGAGAGAGGTCAAGAGGTTTACACAGGGATTTAAAAGTCCAAACTGAGCTGAATTGGAGGAGACAACCAACAACATCAGGAGGTTTGCTACAGTGACAGTATATATTTTTAAAAATTCTATCAATCACAGGGTTAACAGCAGTTTGAAACAGCAAGCTCTACAGCAGTGAGAACAATTTCTTGTATAAGATAGATAGTGCCTGAAAAGGTTAACTGACATCACAAGATAAGCTCCACCCATCAGGATATATTCTGGTTAAGATGGCGGCAGAGTAAGATGCTCCAATTGGAGCTCCTCAGCTCCTTTTCCACTTTCTTTTTTCCCTCTTGCTGCAGCTTTTCTCCCCACCCCCACCTTTTAACTCCTTAATGTACCCTACTGAGAGGGAATGGGGAGCAGCATGGGGGACGGGTCGTGGCTGGAAGAGCTGAGTCTCAGAAGTGAACTGCAGCTGGAACAGTAGCGGAGCAAGCGCAGGCCAAGCCCTGTAAGAGAGCCAGGGCTGGAGCCGGAGCAGAGAGAGTAGAGACCAAGTCCCGGAAGAGAGCCGTTGCTGGAGCCGGAGCAGAGAGAGCAGGGACCGAGTCCTGTAAGAGAACTGTGGCTGGAGCCGGAGCAGAGAGAGCAGGGACCGAGTCCTGGAAGAGAACTGTGGCTGGAGCCGGAGCAGAGACTGAGTCCCGGAAGAGAGCCGTGGCTGGAGCCGGAGCAGAGAGAGCAGGGACCGAGTCCTGGAAGAGAACTGTGGCTGGAGCCGGAGCAGAGACTGAGTCCCGGAAGAGAGCCGTGGCTGGAGCCGGAGCAGAGAGAGCAGGAACCAAGTCCTGGAAGAGAGTCATGGCTGGAACAGGAGAAGCGCGAGTGCGGGTCGAGTCCCAGAGGCAAGCCAAGGCTGGCGCAGGAGCAGGAGCAGAGAGTGTGCACGGCTGAGTCCCGGAAGCGAGCTACGGCCAGAGAGAGCAGAGAGTGCGCAGGCCAAGTCCTGGAAGTGAGCCATGGCTGGAGTGGGAGCAGAGAGAG